GCTTCCCTGGTGGCACAGTGGTTGAGCGCCCACCTGCCGATGCAGGGGACACGGGTTCGTGCCCCGGTCCAGGAAGATCCCACATGCCGCGGAGCGGCTGGGCCCGTGAGCCATGACCGCTGAGCCTGCGCTTCCGGAGCCTGTGCTCCGCAACGGGAGAGGCCACAACGGTGAGAGGCCCGCGTACCGCAATAAAAAAAAAAAAAAAAAGATCCTTCTTTCCCTCTCTCCCTCCCTCCCTTCCTTCTTACTTCGGGGTAAGTGACGCAAGGTCATTTGCCCCACTGTCAATGTAGACTTTAAAATGATGAGGGTCACAGTTTAAAGCCACACTAACCCACGTCTTACTTTGGGGAAAGACAAGTTTCCAGCAGGTATAAATTTACACAAAATACAAGTATGCTTTTTTGCAACAAAAGAAACTATTTATTTGGAATATGCATTACCAGTACAAATTAGGAGACTGTAAAACCTACACCGTGTTAGTATCATTAGAGAACACAAAATTTCAGTTGGAATCAAAAGGGACAGAAGCCTGTGCTCTCACAGAAGCAGGAAAGCTTAAACTTTCAAAACCAAAACAGAGCAGAGCTTTGCAGGTTTATACTCTGAATAATAAGAACAGGGGAGGGGGAGCGGGAGAATAAAACCAAAAACCAAAGGAAAGCACTTCAAAATAATTGAAAACGCCAAAGGAAAGAAAAGAAGTAAAAAGAGAGAAAAGGGGGAAAACATTGGATGCTTTATTAATTTTAACAAAAGGAAAAAATAGTTTACAAAAAAAATAAAAGATTCCAGAAAGCTTTGAGCTAGGGATTGAAACCAGAAAGGTGATGTGAAAAGCTTGTCATTATTTTGTTATGACTTAAAAACAAGAGTGCAAGCGTTTGGGTAGAAACACTTCCTAAAGTGTTCTTAACTCTTCTTGCTTGGGTTCTGGCTGCTTTCTGAATGCTTAATCATTTGTTGAATGAAAAACATTTAAATTAAGGTTCCTCCAGATAATATTGCTTTCTTTTCTCCCCTAACTTAACAAAAACATTCCAAATCAAGCCAGTTTGACAATTTACTTTAATCAGCTGCCTAACCTAAGAGGTTAATATGAGGCACACTGCCAATGAATCAGGTGTAACTGCTCAGCACTGTAACAATAGCACTGAGTCTGGCTCAAAAGATCAGGAGGCCAAATAAATGACTCTAGGACGGCTTCCTGGTCTAGTCTACTCAGCCAATGGTGCACGTCCCACCAGGATCTCCTGTGGGATTCTACTGGAAGAAAAAAAATCCTCTCTAGCTGGAAAGAGTCGTGGAACGTTGTTATTAATCAGGAAGAAAGAAAAGAAAGCATTTTATTGCGTCATTCACGATCAACCAAGGCGAAAACCTTTCCC